CAATGGTTTGAATGGGCCCTAACAGAGCCACAGATAGCAGTACAAACCAACACTGGTTCTAATCCTCCTCACTATATCTGAAACTAAAAAATAAAAAAAAGTTGTTTTGGCTTTATGTACACTGTGATGAAATGTGCCTATTAGGTGTTCACAGTGATGGTTTTATTTTTCTTGGATGGGCTGTTCTTCCTGTCCTGTATAAAGTTACCTGATGACACATTATACACTCCCCACATGCGCACTTTTCCAGTGCCTGGGTGCGACTGCCAGATTACCTCACTGCAGGTTTGGGTTACCACCGATGGATAAATATCCAAACTAACACATGATGAGCTGCTTATGGCCACAGCAAACCCATTTAAACACTTTGCTACCAGACTAAAAAAAAAATTAGGCTAGTTTTAATTCCTCCTGAAGAATGCATAAAGTGTGTGTGTGTGTGTGTGTCAGTGCCATATAAGCTTAGTTGTAAGTCATCTGTGTTCTGCGTGAGATTGCATCATGTGTCTGAGCCCTTGTGTTTCCTGTATTGCAAGCTTTGGCTGAGACGGCCGATCTGATTGCATGCCGATTAGTATCAGTGTGTGAAAGTTATCATAGACAGGGATAAATCTCTTTGCCAGATAGGAATTTATTTCTTTATTACAGGTATCTATATAGCGCAGATAATTTCGGCAGTGCTTAACATTATACATACCATATTATATTATTACAGGTATTTATATAGTGTTGACAATTGGCCAGTATCTTATACAGTCCACATTCACATCAGTCCCTGCCCTCAAGGAGCTAACAATCTAAGGTCCCCATTTCACATCCATACATACAGGGATGATTTAGACAGAAGCCAATTAACCTTCCAGCATGTCTTTGGGGTGTGGGAGGAAACCAGAGTGCCCGGAGGAATTAATTAATGGCACCACAACATTACAAAGATGTGAATGGAGGAAAGTGCCAATTCTTACAGTAAGTGCTGCAGCTCCTATCAAGCAATTCTAATTCTTTGCAGAATCCAAGTCATCAGTGTAGTATAAATCTTGGTTGGTTGTTGCAGTTTCCTGATTAGCACTTTGTTCTTTGTACTCATTGAATAGGGACATCTGCATGGGCCCCCAGTATTCATAGCCTCCAGAATTTTTTGTTTGCTGTAGTCCTTATCTTTTTTGAGATACTCAGTGTAGGTGTTTTACTGGAAACATTTGAAGGTCACATATTTCACAGACTATATAGCAGTGCCCTTGAGAAAAAAACATTTGTTCAAACAAATTTTGAAGAGTGAGGATGGGGTCAGAGCTGGCTAGTTCAATGCAGATTATTTCAGGCTGAGGTGTGCGACTGAGGTATTGCTGCTGACAACTAGTTCTGTGTGTCTAAGTGTACACACTTATGTTGGCTGTACACAACAGTTTTTAGTTTTTTGGGGGATTTAAAGTGACATTAAACTCGGGCATTAAATCTTAAAAATACATTCAAGTATCCTATTAACAAAAATGTATCTTATTTGTGTATCACTCGGCTGTAGATCTTCAAATCATCTCTGAATTGGTGCTGACACTGTCCTTCCTTCTGGAGGGTGCCTACTTTTCTTCCCCATGGACCCTGTGTGTGTTGTATAGCTCACTCCCAGGATGGACTACAATCTCAATACAAAATTAGTAAACTAAACGTGAGATTGTAGTCCATCACGGGAGTAAGCTTGGAGCAGTGACGACTTGAGGCTCCATTCACATATAGCATTTGCTTTTCCAGCACGAGAGGTAAACGTTATATGTAAAACAACTGCATCAATTCCGCTAGTGTGCAGCCATTATATAGCCGTGAACGTGCAGAATCCACCGTATTATCACGCTTGCGCTATTTTGGGGGCCGTGTGGTTTTTTTTTTTTTTTTTTTTTTTTTTTTTGATCATTTTTTTTTTTTCTTTTCTGTTTTTAGAGCGCCTCCGCGTGTGTTTGTACAACCGCCCCTGTGTGACTGGAGCCTTACAACACACACAGGGACCATGGGGAACAAAAAGTAGCCACCCTCCAGAAGGAAGGACAGTGTCAGCACCAATTCAGAGATGATTTGAGGATCTACAGCCGAGTGATACACAAATAAGATACATTTTTGTTAATAATTAAGGTACTTTTAATGCATTTTTAAGTTTTATTGTCTGAGTTTAGTGTCTCTTTAAATACAATTTGTCATACTTCGGAGAATGTTTATTTGATTTCACTCTCTCATAGACATGTTTTCTATTTTTATTTATTCAAGCCACGTTATGACTGTCATGATAATTTTCAGCTATTTTTATTTGGCTGCTCAACCTGAATCTCCAACTTTTTATTTTTATTTTTTTCTCTCGGCTAGATGAAATGACTGAAAGCAATCAATAAATGGCACTCGGCTTGATTTCTTTTATTGCAGATTCAGACTTGCCATGCAATAATTTATGCGTTAACATGCATTTTGTTGAAGTAGCCCATTCATTGTGAATGTGCTGTCAGTGTACTACAAAGCGGGTTGTAAATGGACCTGCAGCATTTTACCACAGTACATGGCTCACACCTGTGAATGGCGGTGCACTGGCTAGGAGCTTTGGATGCCGTCACATTTAGTTTTGTGCTTTCTGCATGTTACCGCAATGCACAGGTCTGAATAGAGACATAGACATGACTGAAAGATATTTATAAGGCAATTGTATTGCAGCATAAGGAAGGCCCAAATGCTCTCAGTGATATTCTGTTATCATTGGAGAATGTATGTCCTGCTGAAAAACATGATGGTAACTTGTTCAGCAGGCAGCAGCTTTCCCCAATACTGGCTGCTGGGCCTGCCCCTCGTCGGAATATGGCCGTGCTCCTGGCACCAATACCTGAAAAGGGGGGAAATATTTATTTGCAGCAATAGGACTGCTGTCGGCCTTCAGCCTTTGACTTGTACTGGAGAACAAGCGGCAGAAACACATTTTCCTCAGCCGGTTTTATGCAGCAAGTTGTGTTTTTCCCCACGTTTGTTTACAGAGTGTTCCGAGTTTAAAGTTTTAGGTGTGGTGATTCCTATATGACAGGATGGGTCATACTGGGGTCCAAGTACACTGAAATAGTCATCTTTGGGAAAACTGCTGAAGATATAGTGAAGGATAAAGCTCCATTGATACAATGATAGTATAGTATATGATGTAAGCTGTGTTGTTTGCAGTCTCCCATGAGCTTGAACATAATATCACTTTCTGAAGACAAACAGAACTTGTTTCTCATTCTGCAAAATGATACATTAATTTCCATCACTCTTATTTATTGACACTCCATTTCCACTCATCCTATTAGTTAGAGCCGACCTGTGACAAAGAAGCTGTCGCAGCCGATCCACTCGCTTCCTGATCGTCTCCCTGCAGTGAGCGGTGAATGTCAGTCACCACTGCCCGCAGGGATTCCTCCCCCCTCTCCGATCCTCCAGCGCTGTGTCACTCACACAGCTGGGTGGATCTCAACAGTATCGCGGGGATCCGTCCCGACTGCGGTGCTTTCAGTATATCAAGGCCAATAGCCCGCGATATACTGAGCTTTGGGTCACGGGAGGACGCTAGTATATGTCCTCCTGTGACACTAAAGAGAACTATGGGGGGAAAACACGTACCCCATAGTTCTCTTTTCGGTATCTATCAGGCAATAGTCTAATTTCTAAAGAACTGCCAGCTTGACCATCCATCAGGCTACAGGGCCCTCCACTGTTAACCAATATTGAGGGCTTCCCATTGGTTTTTGTTTTCATTTAAATTTTTATTTAGACAAACCCGCAGTGCATTTACATTTTTACACATTGTATACATATTTGTTATAGAAGATGGCGTTACATGCTGTAACGGATATTATACAAAGGTATTTTGATCATGGGGTTGGGCATAGGAACAACGCATGCACATATTCAAGGCAAGTTCTTGTTGCTCATTATATTGAATGTAGAGTTCATGTAGAATGTGCAGGCATGCAACATATGATGGTCTGTCATTAATCACAGAAGGTGCTATCCTGGGGTATCACAAATTGTTTTCTTTTGATTGTGAAGGCTTCTTGTCATGGTGTGGGTGTTTGTGGGAAGGAGCTGTGCAGGTGGGATGGTGGGTGAAAGGGTGTTGTAGTGTGGCTTGTTGAGGAGTGGGGATGTGGGAGTTGTATAAATGGGGTATTCAAAGTAATAGCCATATAGTGAATAGAGAGCAGGGGGCGTGGAAGGGGTCAGGGCTATGGAGCTATGATGAATAGGAATGCCTTTTTTTTTTTTTTTTTTTTTTTTTGCACTAGATAAACTATTAACAGAAATGTATCTTATTTGTATCACTCCTCTAGATCCTCAAATCATCTCTGAATTGTTGCCGACACTGTCCTTCCTTCTGGAGGGTGGCTACTTTTGTTCCCCATGTCAAACTATAGTAAACTCACATTTTAACAATTTGTATTGAGATTGTAATCCATCACGGGATTGATCTTGGAGCGGTGGCAACTTTACAACACACGCAGGGACCATGGGGAACAAAAGTAGCCACTAAGTCATGCAGCAAGTCGAGTGAGAATTCTGTATTTTTGTGGCGGGTCATTGGCTCAGAAAATATTGAAATCATTGCATAAGCGTGACAAGAAGGCCCCGTATTTCTCTCCGTACAGGTTCTCCTTAAAGCATCATTCTAACCTAATAGTCAATCTGTAATACCAGCAGATGGTGTCTGTTCTGATCAATGTTACAAGTCTGATTTCATAGACTGAGATGAGTTGTAAAAAGGAAAGTTTTTATAAAAGTAATTTACACCTGACTGTTCCCTTATTATTGTACATGATTTCTGAATACAGTTCTGTTGAATCTCAGAGGGGTTTGTCAAGCCTGTCAAATGTTCTGTGACTCTAATCCGTACATCCTGGAGATATGTATGTTTTGCATTTGTGTTGTAGTTGCTGATTTGGAGCATGACCATTAATTCCCATGTTTAGATGTTTGCTTATTCAAATCTGTGTCTTTTCCAGCTTGCTGACGATGAGCAAGGATACGACCTGGACCTGTTCTGTATTCCGAAGCACTATGCAGCTGATCTAGAGAAAGTGTACATTCCCCATGGCCTGATAATGGACAGGTGGGTCTTCATACCATTGATTTGAATGTCTTTGGACACAATGAGGGAAGTGTTAGAACCTCTGGCGTTTTTTTGTCTTTATTGCTGCCTGTGTACCCACTGGGGAGAATTCACCTTTCTTCCTGTCCTCCAGACACAACAGAAATGGTGAAGAAACTTTGTCAATGTGAAAAGAAATCAGATTTAACAAATGTCATTTGAAGCGGTGTCCCAAATGGGAGATTTACAGTCCATTTCCATGTCAGTGACCACTGTCAAATTTGGGATTTCTCACTTTCTCTCCCAATCAAAGTCAGAGGAAATCTCCACAACAGCTACATCGCCAGCAATAAGAATTTGGCAGAGGTTCTAACTCTTCACACGCTAAAATTAGAAAAAAAAAGTTTAGCATCACCTACATACGTTTGTAAGGAGAGTTCCACATAGAGATGCACTCCCAAAATATTACATGCATCAATGGGATTTCCCATGATCATTTACAGTTGTGCAATAGCCGCGGTGTTGCTTGCAGACTCTCATCCTGTACATCTTTCTGGGCCCTCAGCGAACAAATTTGCTTTCTGTTACGGCGAAATATTTAAAAATTGAACTACTCAGTCCAGAACACCTGCTGCCATTTTTCTGCATATGATGTATATTCATGCAATTGATGACCTGTGGGGGCTTTTAAAGCGTCTTCTATGGACTTTTTGGGGTACTGGGGTTTTTCGCCGTTTTACGGATGCACGCAATTTGTAACCTGGGCATGTTGGGTATCGTTTTACTCGTCGTAACCTCATCTTTTATATTTCATTTAAAAAATGGGTATTTTGTTGTGTTTTGGGGCATTTAATTAAATTTTTCAGTAAATATTGGGGTTTAATAAGGAGTTGCGCTAATATTGCGCAACATAAAAATTTGCAACTACCACCATTTTATTCTATAGGGTCTTGGCATTCAGAAAATATATAATGTTGGGGGGTTTTAAGTAATTTTCAGGCCTAAAATGTGGAATATAACATGGGTAGAAAAAATGAAAAAAAAGGCCTCTGTCATGAAGGGGTTAAAAAGAGGTGTGGGATTGTTTTTCTCTTATCACGTAACGGCAACATTATGTACTGATCTGAACTGCCTGTAAAGACCTCATTCACAGAGGCGGCTCTAGAGTTTGCGAGGCCTTAGGCGAAACCTAAACATGAGGCCCCCGCTCAGGCCTGTGGGGTCTCACCAGGGTTCTGTTGGGTTTAACCAGGCTGGTGAGAACCCACAGAGCCCTGAATAACCCAGGTCTCTGTAGGGTCTCACCAGGGCTCTGTGGGGTCTCATCAGCCTGGTTAGACCCCCACAGAGCCCTGGTGAGACCCCCACAGAGCCCTGGTGAGACCCCCACAAAGCCCTGGTTAAACTAGGGCTCCGAGGGATCTCACCAGCCTGATTATACCCCTCAGAGCCCTGGTGAGACCCCAAAGAGCCCTGGTGGGACCCTACAGAGCCCTGGTTAAACCTGTAGGGTCTCACCAACACAAGGGCTCTGTGGGGTTTAACCAGGAATAGCGAGAACACACAGAGCCCTACTTTAACCAGGGCCCTGTGGGGTTTAACCAGGCTGGTGGGACAACCAGAGAGCCCTGTTGAGACCCCGCAGATCCTTGGTTAAACCAGGGCTCTGTAGGGTCTCACCAGGGCTCTGTGGGGTCTAACCAGCTTGGTTAAACCCCACAGAGCCCTGGTGAGATACCACAGGGCTCTATATGGTCTCCCCGGGGCTTTGCTGGGTCTCACCAAGGCTCTGTGGGGTTTAACCAGTGCTGGCGAGACCCTACAGAGCCCAAGGGAGACCCCAAAGAGCCCTGGTGAGACCCCACAGAGCCCTGGTTAAACCAAGGCTCTGTGGGGTCTCTCCAGGGCTTTGAGGGGGCCTCGCAAGGGTAGCAGGACTCTGTGAGGTCTCACCAGGGCGCTGTGGGGTCTAACCAGCCTTGTTAGACCCACAGAGCCCTGGTCTCCCCAGGGTGATGTGGGGTCTCCCCAGGATGATGTGGGGTCTCACCAGCACCAGGGCTCCGTAGGGTCTCCCCAGGGCTCCCACCATGGCTTTGTCGGGTCTCGCCAGCCTGATTAGACCCCTCAGAGCCCTGGTCCCAGTGCTCCTGTGGGGGTCTCACCAGGGCTCTGTGGGGGTCTCACCAGGGCTCTGTGGGGGGTCTCACCAGGGAAGCAGGGGTCTCACCAGGGCTCTGTGGGATCTAACCAGCCTTGTTAGACCCCACAGTCCCCTGGTGAGACCCCACAGTCCCCTGGCAAAACCCCACAGAGCCCTGGTCTCACCAGGGCGATGTGGGGTCTCGCAAGCACCAGGGCTCCATAGGGTCTCGCCAGGGCTGCATGGGGTCTCACAATGGCTTTGTGGGGTCTCACCAAGGCTCTCTGGGGAATCACCAGGGCTCTGAGGGGGTCTCACCAGGGTAGCAGGGCTAAGATGGCTTCCCAGTGGCTGGTGGGCGGAGCTCCAGAAGACCACTGGCCGAATGGACGGACAGAGGAAACAGATAAGCTCTCAGCCCTGTCGCTGTCAAACGGAGAGTCTCCGTTTGACAGCGACAGGGCTAAGAGCTCATGACGTTACCTGGCTGTGAGGTAATGTGACGGCAGGGCAAATTAGGTGGCCACGAGGCCCTCGGGAGCGTGAGGCCTAAGGCGACCGCCTAATTTGCCTAATTAAAGAGCCGCCTCTGCTCATTCATTTTACTATCCCTCCGGTTATTTCCTGTTAGATTACATTCATGACCCCCTCAGGCTAACATGCAGTTGTTTATGGACCTTTAATGGCCAGGCTTCCTGTCTGCATTACGTCTGGCTTAGAAAAGCGGTACAAAAACCTTCCCTTGTGATGGCCATTATGTCTTTGTGTGCCATGACTGGTGCACTATCTGTAGTAGACTCGTATGCTTCATTACCATGTGCAGTATATGGCAGTTCATGTAATGGCTTCATGACAGATATTCAGTACTCCGTGCCCTATAGGGAGGAGAAATGCCTTTCAGGTTCCCTCCCTTAGTAATACAGGTGTACTGACTCACAGAAATGAATAATTTCTGTGTTTATCTGGAAATGGAATTTTCTTCTTAATCCCTGGAGGACTGTGCACACATTCCTTCCCTTCTTCCTGCCTTCAACATAATACTGAGCCCTGCTGGGAGGAGAGCTTCTTGCGGATCAAGAATTTGGTTTGATTTTTTTGTTTTTCTTCTGGATGGGGCTATGTTCACATTCACAGATCTATGATTTTAACTTGCTACAAGCCTCTTGTAATCCTCTGTACAGAGCACCAACACTGAGAGAGGGAGGGACAGGACTAGTAGCCAGGCAAGTGTCCGGCAATAGAAACATTTGTCTGTATTGTTCTAACTGTAGAAGAGAATAGCCTGTTCACCAGGTTGACTGTGCGGTCTATCTGGGCCGTGTAAACATCATGACTAGAAGGACAGGAATATAAATCCTTCATCAGGTAACAAAAAAGCTCCTGAACATGTATTCCTAATGGTGTATTTGGCAGTTTGTCTTTAGTAAGAAATGGAATGTCCAGGTTTGCACCAAATTAATAGTTTCTGCATCTCTCCAGCATTGACATCTGATAGTGCCCCCACCCCCCTCTTCCTCTAACTGCAGTTATTGTAGGGTCCTCGTGACCAAACTGTGGCCTGAAGACCACATGTGGCCCTTTGTCAAATGCTGTGCGGCCCTTTACAGACCCTAGTAGTCAATGGCAGGAGCATTTATTTGAAAAGAACCTATGATGTTGTTGATCTTTGTCAGTCTCCTGCAATGTGTCTTCAGTGTCCAACCACACCTGTTGGCATGTCCGCAGTCTCTGTCTCCTAATATGTTCGAGATCTCCAGCAGTGTTCTGTCATATATTTACAGGGTTATTCACTACAGGGTGAAGTGTTTGGAGGAGGCAGGGGAAGTGAACAATCTAGGACAACATAGCTGAACTGGAAAGTGAGCTGAACTGGAGAATTTTTCCAAATCCTTTATCTTGTCCTAGATTGTTCCCTTCGCCTGCCTTCTCCAAACTCTTCCCCCTTTTGTGAATAACCCTGTAGATATTAAGTGTGTATGTTTGGCGCTGTCAGTGCCACATTGGAGGCCCCTATACACAAGATGACATCCTGTGGTGGTGGTGGTGGTGGCGGTGGCATCATGCTGAAACTCGCCAAAGGAGTAAAGTAAATGGCCTTTTCACCTACTATAACATAAACCAGTTTATCTATGTGCCCCTCTATTCCGTGCTTTAACCTGATGAAATGAGAGCATACTTTCAGTTAAACTGGCTGCACACCGTACAATCTGAGTGTGCAGTCTCTGGATAATCAGTGTGGGGGTCAGGTTAAACAATCCTCTGTAGTTGTTGGTAAAGTTAAAGAAGATTGGCCAGTCAAATTGTAATGTGTTTGGTTAGGTTAAAGAAGACCAGTCTAGAGTAAGCATCTGCTGAGAAGGAAAGAATAGTGGACAGATGACAATCCATGAGAAATAGGACTCTTATATGGAAACCTGATCACTAAAACCTTTCAAAAGACATTTTCAATATTTAAAAAAATTGCAGATGTTGTTACAATAATACTTGGTGATTCCACTAATGAAGGACACCCCATTACAGCGGGACATCGCTTTTTCTCGCTCTGCCATTTGTGCTCCCTTGTGGAAACTACATGTGGTTGTTTTAATAGACAATATGATGGCATGATCCACTGTTGTAGCCATTGATGGGGTGTATGAATGTTGGCGGGAGATGCAATGAAAGGTGAAAGCAAGCATTTTATGATATCGTTTTATTATAGTTTTTTATGATGCACTGTGCTTCAGCACACCAAATGCCATCCAGTTAGTTTTACATCCACTTTATGAGAGGAGTTTGAGATTATTACAAAGACCCGGACGTGACTGGATTGTTCTTCAGTTGGTAGAGAACAACCCATCAGAAGCTTCTATTTTGGTACAATCTCTTGCAGCTCCTTCCACTCGTTCTCTTTTCACAATAGAGGATTTGGGATCATTGTGTGTAAATCAGGCTATTTTGTTGAGCTGATTTTTGGATTGTTATTCACGTTGTATGCCTGGCACATAATTAACTGCACTGATGGGAATACGAGGAATAAGTATAAATAAACTCTGCTGCCATAGTAGGTTGTATTAAAGTTTTGCTTTGAAAAAAAAAAAAAAAAAATTTCTTGCCTTTTTTATAGCAATAAATGATATATAGTCTTGCATTAAAAAATAAGATCGGAGGCTGTTTTTAAACGGCTTGATGCTATAAGATCAATATACCAAGGATATATCTCCTACACCCCTGGTGCCCAACACGTGGTCGGCCAGAACTTTGTGTGCAACTCATGACTTCTTTATTGATGCCAGAGCCTGACTTGACCACCACGGAGAACGGGATAAACAAACGGCAGCGGCCATTTGGACTGGGTTTTCCTCACAGAAGCAGCAGCTGCTGTTTGCTTTATTTTCTTCACTTCAGTCTACTTACTGCACACCCCATGTGACAAGATCATGTGACTGTGGGCCTGGAACTGACAGATGACTTGGATGAACCGAAGAGGTTGTCAGTCCCAGACTGTGACCCTGATGATGAAGAGGGAGTGCTACAGAGCAATAGAAGAATAAAAAGAAAATAGAATTGAATCTAATCTCATGTGATCACTTTATATATAAACTATACTTAATACAGTGGTGCCTGGGGGTACATTACCACACATGTTGGCATGCAGTATTTTGTGTTAATGGGTTGCATTAAGGCAGCACTTAGATTTGGAATGGAATGGGGGAGGTGGGGTGCTACAATTCTCTTACATTGTCTCTGCATTTTCCGGCTCTGTGTAAAGTGCAGAAAACTCGCTTCTAATATCCGAGCTCTCCATGTGCTTTACATGCAGTTGTAGATGCGGTAAAAAGGAGTTGTAAACGGGCACTAAATTGATAACGGCTCCCATTACTATGGAGTGCTTTGTTTTACTTGTGCTAGTCTCCAATGTACCTATAAGCACTAGAACAATGTACATTTCTGGAATTATTTTCTCTTTTGGTGCAGGACAGAACGGTTAGCGCGAGACATCATGAAGGACATGGGAGGTCATCATATAGTCGCTCTTTGTGTCCTGAAAGGCGGATACAAGTTTTTTGCTGATCTACTGGACTACATCAAGGCACTGAATCGAAACAGCGACCGGTCAATCCCTATGACAGTAGACTTCATTAGGCTGAAAAGTTACTGTGTAAGTTTATTCTTTTGGCTGATTACTGCCACCTAGTGACTACAAAATAAATAGCAATCCTACTTGTTTTATTGTAAGTGTAGTAAGAAAGCAGCAGCAGCAGCAGGCTTGAGTACAACTGGGAATAAGTTACAGGTTGATCCATGTAAAAAAGAATTAGTCATTGTAATTCATAAAAAAGGTTAAAGAATTTTAAAATGGAGGTTGCGTAATGTGAGAATTTTTTACCAACACCTGAATGTCATCATGTTCAGAAATCATTTACAAAGAATACGGTTATCTTTCATTTTCAAGCATTTTTTAGTAACCTGACCACTTACATATAATAGTAGCAGAGAGGAGTGAATATTACATAACTTCCATTGTAAAATTCTGACTCCTGAAAAAAAGTATAATTCCATTATTTTTCCTTAAGTCATCTTCCAGGACAGCATCTGAGAGATAGTCTCCTACCCCCTGAAACAGGAAACACATCATACACGCCAAATAAAAAGCGCTTACTATTAGCATGCCTCAGTTATTTGTGTTTCCTCGGCCTAAACAGGAAATGTATATGGCTGGTTGTAAAATTGCTTCTTTGTACCATTTTCATTTGATTACCTAAAGCTCCCCCCATTTTATGATGACAGAAATGCTATTATTAATAATGTTCTAGATCCTAAAGGACAACTGTATCTTGTTGTAAAATGCATACCTTGCTCCCGCGATCTTTACTGTACGGCCCTGTCTGGCACCACACAGTCTTTGCAAGGAAAACATCCCAGCCGTGCCCTTTTCCTACAGTGCTGTGTGCTGATGCCCCATTCATTGCAATTGATGACCCATACCCTGCTCAATGTTTGGGGGCTGCCAGGGGGGTGGCTCATCAATAGAAATGGATGGGTCTCTGGATCTTGTGTACAGTAAGAGGGCCTGGCAGGGACATTTTCTCTGCAAAGACTTTACAGTGACTCTCAGGGCCACACAGAGAAGCTGGCTGGAGCAGGGAGGAAGCAAGCAGGCTGCACTCGGGGGGTTGGGAGGTTTAATTAAAGAGTGGCTTTTCTAAGTATAGAGTTCCCATTGAAATCAGAGTAAACTAGTATGCCTGCAGATATACCTTCTAAGATAAGAAAAAAACACATTAAACCAAAGGACCCGCATTAAATTTCCTTGCAGTCTGTGTGAGAGGTCATTAGTTAGCAAGACCAACAGGCTACTTGAGACAAGCGATATGAATCTGGTTACTAGAGATTAGTTTGGGGTTGTAGTGAACTCATAACAAGCTTCCTGATTTTTGTTAGAAAGGATGGAGTCAAGGTAAAAGAATATAATAGGAATATGAGAGACAGGGTTGGACCCTCTAGAGTTAGATACTGTGAACATTTTACTACTGAATTCCATCTGTGCTTGGTGTAGGTTTAACCCATCATATTCCATTTTCTTAGCCCTGGGGTTGGGTTGCGAGAAGTGATAGTCACTGTTTGAAATCTCTGGTGTCCCCTGAAGGAACACACTTTTCCATCAGCGCTGTATGCTGAATTTCTGCTGTACAATGTTTGCTTCGTGAATGCAGTGTCACCAAGCTGAAACCTCTGATCACTGTTCTACCAAAGTATGGTGCTGCTCTGGAAGACATACACACCTCTCAGCAGTGGACTCCTGCTATGAGTGCAGTTTAGTCATTCTGCAGGCTTATATGAAGTATAGAATAAGCAGTGCAGGTGAATAGTTAACAACAGCCCAACTCGCTTTGTATATGTTCAGCTTGTAATCCATGTCCAGATCATGGACTGCAATCTTTATATTATCATAGTACATATTTCAATTATAAATATGTGTTGTGAAACATATGGTTATATATTGTTATCCTGTAAAAGGAGCTTTATTTTGCTGCATATTTAATTATTGTCTAATGGTGTGTGTTGGCATTGCTGTTTTTTCTCTTCTAGAATGATCAGTCCACGGGTGACATAAAAGTTATAGGAGGAGATGATCTTTCCACATTGACAGGCAAGGTTTGTATTCTGCAGCACAGTGGTTACTGTGAGCAGCCTATTCTTCTCCCTAGCACAGGGGCTCCCTACGTTTTGAAGGAAGTATGTAATAGGGATGTATGGAGATTGCCATTGCATACTTCCCTTCCTGAAAGTACTGGTTTCTGGGTGTCATTTGAGTCCCTTATCGAACAAGTGTGCAGATGGATTTAATTCTGCATGCTTATTGCAGGTCAATGATTCAGAAAATATTGAAGCCAGAGACAACCAGGCAAATAACATTTTCAGAAGGGTGTCAGATTCTTTCCTTTAGGCCTCATTCACACTGCCGCACATACACGTGCGTATATATGCGCGTACGCACGTATTGTAGGATATGCAAATAAATGGCTCCATACGCATAGGTGCGTATGGAGCCGTATATTTGCCTAGCGTAAAAATGCGCAAAAACAATGGCACTGAGATGCGTCCGGGCAGCGTATTTCTGCGTATTTTAGGCGCATATACGCCTGTTTGCGCACGTATACGTACACGCGTACAGTTCATTAAAATTTCTAATACAAATGATGCAGTCTGGGATTGCATATAGTGCACGCACATACGCGGATGTACGCATATATACAATTTTGCTCTTGCGTTGTGTGTGGATGAGGCCCTAAGGTGGAAAATTGGCACAGATATTTTTATTTGTTTCTTAAATCCTGATGTGTACAGAAATGTTACCTCTCCTGAAATAATAAATGCCGGGATCGCTTCACAGTACCATATAATCAACAAAATACTTGTATTCTGCCGAATAGTACTTGGCCATTCCCAGAACACTGTATACTATATGAACCTTCCATAGAATACATGGTGTTCTGTGAATGGCCAAGGGGAGAGGAGGGGATGATAAAACAGTATTGCGTCAGTCTGAGACCAGCAGATTTCATATCCAGAGCAGGCTGGAAGTACAGCAAGAGCTACACTATCCGGCAGAAACAGGAGGATTGATTTTGTGGTATTGTGAAGCAATCCGGGAATTTATTACAACTCGGGAGAGGTGACACTTCTTTATTCTGTTGGGTGAGGATGCTTTCAAAAATAATGCAATTAACTGTTTTTAATCATCAATGAACAAACTAGATACGTGCATAAACCTAAATCAAATGAGGATTTGGTGCGTCCAATCTTTGCCTCTTAAAACAACATCAAATGTAAGTACAGCTTTTTTTGTTTTTTTTAAGGACCGCAGCAGGTAGGTTGTTCCAAACATCTAGGAGAACTAACCACAGCTCTTGTGCATTTAGGTTGTCTCTGTTGTGTCTCTTCTTCAGAGATGTTAGAATCCAGGGCCCAGTATCTGCCTTTGCTTTTCAGCATTAAGGAAACAATTCATTTCTCAATTCCATGTACAGAAATGCAGCCTCAGACCTGCAAGGAACCCCTAACATGCATCACTGTTGGCTGCAGACCCTCATCCTTGTACAGCTCTCCAGGGCTTCAGTGAACAAGCTGCCTTCTGTCACAGCCAGATATTTCATATTTGGGTTCATCAGTCCAGATCACCTGCTGCCCTTTTTTCTGCCCCAGTTCTTGTGCATAGGCGAGTTGCTTGGCCTTGTTTCCACATCAGAGGTATTGTTTTTTAGCTGTTTTTTTTTTTTATTAAGAAGACTTCTGTCCAGACTTCTCAGGACTGTAGATGAGTGTACCAGATCCCCACTAGTTTCTGCCAAGCCTGAGCTGATGGTGCCCCTGGATATCTTATGAATGTGAAGGGATTTCAGCATGATGTGTCTTCCCGGCTGCACTAAGTTTCCTTGGCCAACAGCAGTTGCTGTTTCTTTGTACTTCTGCAGAACGGCTTGGATGACACACATGGAAACCCTGTCCTCCCTGACATTTATGCCTGTGGGAGACCCCATTGATCAGACCAACTTGTGTCTTATGTTCAGTCTGGTCATTGTGTAAGGTTCTTTTATGTTGAACTGTCTTCAGCAACCTCACCTTTGGGCTTTTCCTCTTGTAGATTAATTCCTGCTATACAGCTGGTTTTGTTTTAATAATTTGTATTTGAACTTGCCTGTTACCTTGTTGGTCATTATCATTTGTTTGATATAATTGTGGAACAATGTACTGGACCATATGTCTTCAAAATCCTTTTTCTTGGTTGATAAAATCTATTTGTTGCATTACATTTGAAAGCATCCTCACTTTATGGCAAACGTAACTAAAACCTTTGCACAATATTCTATATAGGGCCCAAGGTAACATTTAATTTGATGCATATTTACAACTAGATCATTTTGATTGGTGTTTGTTGAATGAATGCGTTATTCATGTTTTTTCTTTTTTTGCAGAATGTTTTAATTGTTGAGGTGAGTGAATAATCAAGTTCATTTTACTGCTTCATTGATTTATCTGTAATTAGTTTACGGTTTTGTACCGGAGAGTGGGATTGTTTCAACCAGTCTATACTGCCCGTAGCAGCCTGTCGGATTTTTCTTTCAGGGAGACTTAACTGCGTGGATATTATAACTGAGTGAACCATTCTAAAGCTGGCCATACACCTATAGATTTGTTTTTACCAGCCTATGGTCAGATGGAAAAAGTGCAACACATTCCTCCATCTACGCTAAGCTGTGTGGGTGGGGGAAGCTCCCACTGGGCCAAGCTTCAGTATCTTGCTAGTCGGCCCCGCTGGCTGCCAAAATACCTGAACAATGCCTGCATCCAATCAGATTGTTCAGGTATTTTGACAGCCAGCGGGGCCGACTAGCAAGATACTGAAGCTTGGTCCAGCGAGAGATTCCTCCATCCATACAGTTTAGCGTAGATGAAGGAATCTGTTACACTTTTTCCATCTGACCATAGAAAATCTGCAGATAATCTATAGGTGTATGGCCAGCTTAAAATGCACAATTCTTATGGAATGTAGTCTGCATGTCTGCAGTGAGTAATAAAATACAGTCTCTTCTTTTTACATGAATGTTTCCTTTCTCTACATTATCTTCTTTATCTTTACTATTATTTTAAATTTTACAATAAAAGCATGGCTTTCATTCAGTCAAGAATGTAAAATCAGGGCAAAGTGACAGGTTGTTCTTATAGCCCACCACCTCCTGCTGATACTTACCTTCCACATGCATCTCTCCCACTTTTGTTGAGCAACAGAGCCCTGAGTAGAAAGCCCTGTGTTAGTTCAATGTCGGCCTGTGTTGGAGGTTACTCGAGGCTCATGTCCTTCCTTGCGCTCTCACAAAACAGTGCTTGTGCCTGGTGAATGGCCATTTAGCGGACCATAGTGGGGAAAAATAGGAGAGGGCCACATGCATCACCATACCTGGAAGTACTTAGTATTTCCAAGGGTTCTGGTGAGCAAACTAAGCAGTGAGTGGAGCATGGTGAAGGTAAGTATCCGCAAGTTTTATTGCTTCCTTACAATATTGTATATGAAATAAATAAAAAAATGTGAAAAAATTATATATATATATATATATCTCAATTGTCACTAATAAGAGGTTTTGCAGAGTCTTCTATACTTAATGCTGGCAGTGATCCTGATGTATTAAAAGATATTTCTGCTCTGCGATTCCACAGGATATCATTGATACAGGGAAGACAATGAAGACTTTACTTGCTATGCTGCAGAAGTACAATCCCAAGATGGTCAAAGTAGCCAGGTAACAGTCACAATATATAGAGTCTATGGGGCATTTATTGTACTTATGCAAGCTACAAATCAGCAACGTTTTGGTGTATTTGGTTTTCTATTTATAACATACAGTTGTACACTTTTTTTACTTTCGAAGGTAATAAAAGTTGTGTATAAAGTTCAGTATTTAGCCTGCGCAAATGTTATAAATGTCCTTCTGTGCCTTACACTTGGTTATACATAAAACCAATTATTTGGGATTAGGGGGGGTTGTTATTACATTTTATGGTATAGGTACATTATGTTGCTCCTGGTGTTCGGCAGCTCTGTTTTTAATGTAACAACATAAAAAGGGATTTACAAGACGTGTGTACAGAGGGACAGTGTAGTTGGTTGACTGAATAAAATGACTAACCGGCCCTTTCTATGATCTGTTCTGCGGTCTCCAGCAGTCACAAGTAGTGCTATGCCAGTTTAGGCCAGCCCTAAGGTGTGTGCCTGTATGAGGTGAAACGTCATTCATTTTATGATACGTTTGCTGCAAGTGTGTGCAAATATGTTGCAGGCAGGTTTCCAGCCCAGGATTCCAGACAACCTAGTATGATTAGGATAAAGATACATTTCAATGATAGGCAGTGCATTTCCAAGCAAGCTTTTCATTACAAACACATGGGGGGTGCCATTGCCAGGCCTTTCTTTAAGATTTCTTTCTATAGGTTACATTTACAAGGGGCATTCTGGGATTTCTGTGGCAGGAATCTCAGGTGTCCCTGTTCAGATGCTGTCGCTGTACCCATTGAAGTAACAGGGTGACAGTGGCCGCCCGCGTGTAATCATACTATTGCATGCGTTTTGGGATGGAGTTTCCTTGGATACATCAATCCTGCGTCCAGCAACAATCCTCTTTTCCAAACCACGTGTAATTGTACATTTACATGCAGACTGCCACTGACAGATGCGGCCGCTGCCACCCTCTCATTAATTGCAATGGGTATAGCTGACTCATCTAAACAGGGACACCTAAGATTCCTTTCGCAGGAATCCATAGGTTCTTGCTGCAGGAATCCCAGACGCAACATAAGTCCCCATGTAAATGGAGCCTAAGACGTTTCTGGCTAGTACACTGACCAACTGGGTGCAGGAAGTGTTCAGTCATTGACCTGGAACAAACATGAGCATTTATTTCAGATACTAGACCCCAACTATTGAAGCAAGGGGGTACACATAGCAGCCAGGAAACTACCATTTGCAGAATGAGAGGTAGCAATGGCAGCCTCCATGTTTAGATCAGTAGAGGTTTCCTCCTTGGCCTTCTCTAACAGAAAAAAAACGTATGTTTTGGCCACTGCAATGCCTATAGGGGCCCCTTCACACCTATGTGTGGCTTCATTGCTCACTACCACAACACACATTCCATGCATCAGTTGTTGTGGTGCCAGACTTTTTCGGCACAAAGTAGTGTAAGGTGTAGGTGCAGATTTTTGTCCGTTCAAATGAATGGGCTGCATTGACGCAATGCATGTAATGTGCAACTTAAAGCACACATCAGGATGAAAAGGTGTGAACCTTGATGCAATGTATAATGTTTTTGCATATTTTTATTCATTTTGAGGATTTTTTTAAGGTTTAGCTTATTTTTTAGTTCGATTAAATAAGAAACATGCACATGTCATATTTACCACTTACATGCACATGTCATATTTACCACTTACATGCACATGTCATATTTACCACTTACATGCACATGTCATATTTACCACTTACATGCACATGTCATATTTACCACTTACATGCACATGTCATATTTACCACTTACATGCACATGTCATATTTACCACTTACATGCACATGTCATATTTACCACTTACATGCACATGTCATATTTACCACTTACATGCACATGTCATATTTACCACTTACATGCACATGTCATATTTACCACTTACATGCACATGTCATATTTACCACTTACATGCACGCGTCATATTTACCACTTACATGCACGCGTCATATTTACCACTTACATGCACGCGTCATATTTACCACTTACATGCACATGTCATATTTACCACTTGCATGCAGCGGGTGCTGAGACCACTTGTTTACTACTGGGAAAATAGCAATGGCTGCAAATACGAGGAGGCCAGATTACACACACAGTCACCGCTGGCCTTTGATAATAAAAATCTCCCCGTGGTTTACAAGTGACACATCATGCTTGCATGGAATTGAATGTTTCTTTGTACAAATAATAAAAAAGATATTAAACATCAGTTTATAGAATTTACACACACAGAAAGTTTCCCTATAAGATTAGTAATATCTAGACATGAGGATAATTGTAAATTGATCCTTTGTTCTCTCATATCATGTTGCCTTTCGCAGACAGTACTGACATCTGATCACATTGTATCTATCAGTAGTGGGAGCTGGTTTTCCCTGCTTTCTATTTAACAGTTTTATTTTTTCCCCCCTACAGTTTGCTTGTGAAAAGAACTCCCCGGAGTGTCGGCTATAGACCTGATTGTAAGTAGTTCTACATGCCATGCTATTGATGAGAATTCAGGTTTGATTATCATGTTTACAGAAGTTCTTGTATGGTGAATGTTTTGGTGATTATTACCTTTTTTTTTGGCCACCGCACATAAGCTGTCGGTCATCAGTCACGTTAGTCGGATGCAGTATGTTTTCAGGTACCTTGAAGTTACTTTGACTCTCCTACCAGTTGCTCATGGAGTTGCATCCTGCTTACCACTAAGGTTGCATTGAGCAGCTTTTATATTCACTTTGATTTGTGTGGCAAAGAAATGTAGTTCAAATGTACACAAAACCAATATGCATGAGGCCTACAACTGGCCGTAGATAAGAGATGGCAATTCAACATAGTGGGCAAGATGGACTCCTAAACTTGTTCAGGTGACTGACGAGTGAGTAGTTAAGTTCATGCAGTGGGCACCTATTGTCCACAAGACATACAGTACATACCTTAAGATCATGTCTTCAGCCCTCCAGTGATTTTGCCTGATAATGTAGTTTTTTAGCAAAATGGTGTAATGTGGGTTTGCTATTCTGTGTAGTTGTGTGAAGAATCCAGTAGGAGACGCATGGTTTGGCATAAAGCCAGGCAATGTTTCTTAAAGTATAGCAAAAATGAAAACTTTGTCCTGGATAGGGTCGGAGAGGCTTAAAACTGCTGTCCGTGGTTTGGTTTTTGTCATCGGTGTCTCAGTAGGGAGATTTTCCTTTACTTCCTGCCTTGTAGACCTAACAGGAAATAAGAGGTTATCTTCTCAATGTGAGGGCAATCTCCTCTTAATCTAAAAGATTTCCTCTCTATTCCTGTTCTGGGATTTGCCCTCGCTTTCATTCCCGGTGATCAGGACAATTGGAGAGAGTGAATCTTCCTACCGGGGACACAGACACCAATACAAACCTGAGATTAGAGGTTCCAACCCCTCCTCACTCTATCCCAATCTAAAAAAAATACGTTAAGTCCAGAACTACCGTGTTTCCCCCATCGGGGAAACACGGTAGGAGCCGGTGTCCTCACTGAGGAGCCGTATTCTACAAGAAGCTGACCGATGAATTGCACATTTGCATGGTCCTCATTGTCACACTTTGCTGGATTTCTCACATTTCTCAGGCAAACTGCATGTGAAAACATAGTTTTTAATGGCACCCAATTCACCAGCAGGATAGCCTGGGATGCATTGGAAGGAAGTTCTGCAGGTTTCATTTCGGGATGTTCACTTTTTGAAGTACTACATTGAATGGTAAAATGAATGTCCGGGGTCTTTACACCCTGAGGTAGTAGTTTAGCTGTAGGTGGAGCCTCTGGATGTACCTCTTAGGGACTCCATAAGAGAGATCTCAGTGTTCATTCCTGGCTCTGCTCTCCACCTAAGAATGTTGTCTTCTCACTTCTGTTTTTGCGTTCCTCATAATGAATACAATAAGCAGAGCGGGGACCCTATTAGTGGCTGCAGTAGTTGTTCAGACCTTGGAACTCGCATTCAGCGTGTTTTGTAATGTTGAGTTCCTGACACTTCGAGACACTTGGAGCTGAGCGACTTTCTTGGATAAGTTGTGATCCATCTTCAACATTACAGAACAGGTCTAGTTGTCTGTGACCTCTACAACTAGCTACACTATGACCTGGATAATGAGAGCCTTCACAGACACATGAGGTGATTTACCTTTTCAACATCTACCAATGAGATTTGGGTCAGCTGACCATTTTTACTGCAAAGTGCTCTGTTGCGCATTGTGTTGGCGTGCACTAGCCTTGAACCTGCCGATATGGAGTGATCGTTTATCGGTGGGTGCACATAATAAACAATATTTCACCAAATGGACATAAGAGGGAAATGTTCACCTAGTTTTATTGTATTAACTTTCTCACTTTTTCAGTTGTAGGATTTGAAGTTCCAGACAAGTTTGTTGTGGGCTACGCTCTAGACTACAATGAATATTTTAGAGATTTGAATGTAAGTGTGTGCACAGTGCGTATTGATTTCTAGTCTACCTCTGTGACTTCTGTTTTACATGTTTGGGTCGGGTCCATAAATAGATGCAACTACATGAAACTCTGTGCTGAAATGACCTCTTCCTGTTTTCTATCTGTTTCTTCACAGCTGATCTTCCCTATAGTGTTTGTTCTTGTATGAAGATACATGGGGCCCCTGTGTGATTTTAGAACATTTTAATGGTGTGATGATTTTTAGTATGAGAATATAGTTACATTTGTTACCGTGTTTCCCCGAAAGTAAGACATCCCCCGAAAATAAGTCCTAGCGCTATCTTCGGGGATGTCTGTAATATAAGACCTACCCCGAACTAGGTCTTATTTTCGGGGTAGGTCTTATATTACAGACATCCCCGAAGATAGCGCTAGGTCTTATTTTCGGGGTAGGTCTTATATTACAGACATCCCCGAAGATAGCGCTAGGTCTTATTTTCGGGGTAGGTCTTATATTACAGACATCCCCGAAGATAGCGCTAGGTCTTATTTTCGGGGTAGGTCTTATATTACAGACATCCCCGAAGATAGCGCTAGGTCTTATTTTCGGGGTAGGTCTTATATTACAGACATCCCCGAAGATAGCGCTAGGACTTATTTTCGGGGGATGTCTTACTTTCGGGGAAACACGGTAGCAGTGGCAGTCCGGGGGATATATTTTACAATGTGATGTTTGCAATCATCTTGGTGCATGTGAGTAGGCAGACCGTTCAAGCACTGCATCCTTTTCACTGCCTTATAGGCAAAGGGGGAGTAGAAATATCTTGCAGCACTGTAGACCTTGGGATGGGACTGATTCCAGTATGGTTTATGGTTTTCACGCAGATTAACACCTAACATTGATCCTAATAGGTTGGACTTGATGGACTAATGTCTTTATTCAACCTCAAATACTATGTAACTATGTAACACTTATGTCCTGTGTTTCAGCATATCTGTGTGATTAGTGAGGATGGAAAGGAGAAGTACAAGGCATAAGAAGATATGGGCAAAGTTGCTCGGTCGTCAGCTCCTGTGCTGCTAAAGCTGCAGTGGATATATCTACCTTCATGCTACCTGAACTCATTCACTTCACACATTGGACTCCTTCCTGCATGAATGCATCACACCCACGGCAATTCTTTCAGCTTCACTGACCGCGGCGGATACTCCGCGATATACCAGACTATTATTTATAGATTACACAAGACTTTTATTTCTGAGTGATGTTGACATGCCTTCTGACTTTTCCCCTGAGATTTAACCCATGTAGATTGATAGCACTTAGAGGACGTGCAAAGGATTGAAGAGTGCTGGTAGTTTATCTATTGGAGTGCATACACAAGGCCAAGTTTCCCAAAGAAGTGCTCAAATTTGGCCAGCAGCTTGTATTTTGTGGTTGTCTACACAGGTAGCTAAACTGCATTACTGAGGCCCTGATGACTTTTTCTGTGTGTATTTCAGGTTCCGGGCAGAGTCTGTAGTGATGGTGGGACTGAGACCGGTTTTGGTAACACTGGCTGAAGGGAATAGTTCACGCTGATAGTCTTATGTGGTATCACTGGCAGTGGATCAGTTTCCTTGTTCCCCAGACTCATATCTGTTTGGGCCAAGAACAGCTGTGTGTTGTGCATTTTTAGTGGCGCATGTAAAATGCATTACACAATTCTCACAACACACTCACCTCTCACACTAAAGTCTGATCACGCTTAGGAAATGAAGGCCCCTTCCACATAGGCGCCTGTTAGCTGCATTTCACAATGGATGTCACTGTTATCCATTGGACATCAATTTTTTTCCTTCATCTTTACAAGGAGGGAGGAATATCCTGAGCTTACTGGACCCATGTTGGTCTATGGTGATTCAGATATAAGTGGAATGTGTCTGGTTACATCAGATTGCCTTCGAACCATCATGATCAGGTCTGCCAAAATATAACTTGTTCCAATTAGATTTCTGGACCTAGACAGGTAATTGTATGTAAATGGACACATAGCCATTGAGATCCGGCTGACCATAGACTAACATTGGGCTTCCAATGGATCCGCCTGAAAAACCTGATAGATGGACCTGATCAGATCACCCGTCTGATAGGGGAGGAAGGTTTCCATCAGAGACTTTGTGATAGATTTAATCTGAGGCTCCACCTTTCTATAGAGGCACTTTATCCAGGAGTTGGTCAACAAGATGTGTCTTCTTCAGCTTTTTACTCACACAATGAAACCTGAAATATTCCAGGTTCTCGGGTTAAATGTCGTATTTGGCCACAGCAGGAGCAATTGGATTGTGTGTTAAAAATGATATGCTTGAGATTAGACTCTGGGATGATGTAAGGAGCATAAGAAACATATTTTCCTCATACCTGCATGGACATTGATCTAGGAATGACGATCAGCCTGAAGAATTGTGCAGCTATGGGGCCGTTCTCACCAGAATGCTCGAAGTAACACCACTTGCTGTATTCTGTCAGACCCGTTATGTCTTGGAAAGACCCCCTTCCAGCTTAATGGGAAAACCTGTTCATGGTGAAAGGCCCTACTAACATCCATGGATAGTCTCTAGTCTGCATTTCATCTGCTTTGGAAGACAAAACATTTACTGAGCTTTAATTTCTGCCGAGAGAGAGAGAGTATCTGTCCTCCAGACACAGAGGAAGCTGATATTTAGAATTTATGTAAATCCATTGCTGATGAATCATGGTCAAGATGCCAGGCTGCCTAGCAATAGGTGAAGCCAGCTTCCTAGCCAATCAGGAAGCCGTGCGGCACATCATGACCTGCCTCCCTGATTGGCTAGGAAGCCAGCGTCACTTGTTGCTAGGTAGCGTGGCTTCCTGACCAATCAGGGAGGTGGGTCATTACATGCCGCTCGGCTTTCTGATTGGTTAGGATGCCAGGCTACCTAGCAAATCAGGGGGGCGGGTCATAAATCACTGTCTGCCTCCCTGATTAGAAAGGAAGCCCGCTCCATGCTCCCTTGGCACTTGCAGTCAGTGGGAGTTCTCCCTCTGACCAGAAGTTCCGGTATTGGAGGTAAGTACCGGAGTAGTCCCATACTCTGCACCAATACTGATACTAGCTAGACTAGTGTCCCTAGTTTAAAGTTCTAAATTGTCCCAAATGTGACATCCGGAGGGCGCTAGGTTCCAATCTCTGTAAATCTTACCTTTGTTTACACACATCTGATTCTAACAAGAAGAGGAAAAGAAAAGCTTTAGTTTTCTTAGTGTGATATTGATCTCTGTCCTCCAGTATAGTGCGCCATTTCTTCTAGATCTGTCCTCCAGTATAGTGCGCCATTTCTTCTAGATCTGTCCTCCAGTATAGTGCGCCATTTCTTCTAGATCTGTCCTCCACTATAGTGCGCCATTTCTTCTAGATCTGTCCTCCAGTATAGTGCGCCATTTCTTCTAGATCTGTCCTCCAGTATAGTGCGCCATTTCTTCTAGATCTGTCCTCCAGTATAGTGCGCCATTTCTTCTAGATCTGTCCTCCACTATAGTGCGCCATTTCTTCTAGATCTGTCCTCCACTATAGTGCGCCATTTCTTCTAGATCTGTCCTCCAGTATAGTGCGCCATTTCTTCGAGATCTGTCCTCCAGTATAGTGCGCCATTTCTTCTAGATCTGTCCTCCAGTATAGTGCGCCATTTCTTCTAGATCTGTCCTCCACTATAGTGCGCCATTTCTTCTAGATCTGTCCTCCACTATAGTGCGCCATTTCTTCTAGATCTGTCCTCCACTATAGTGCGCCATTTCTTCTAGATCTGTCCTCCACTATAGTCCTCCAAATTTTGTTTTGAGTGAGAAGCCTTGGATAGCCAAGTGAAAAATGGTTATCTATAAGAAAGTGAGATGGGAAGGATTTACAGATGTTCACCTATACAGTCATAGTGTGTGTGTGTGACCATCAATAGCAAAAAGATATCAAGTGGCACTATGGGAAGAAATGACATTGATGCCGTCTGTCCATGCCATGAACCCAGCAGGGGGGAATCAGACAGAACGCTGCATTATTTCCAGTAACACACCCCATCATATGTCATGTTTGATTTTGCCCGTAGTTCCACTTCATGCCGGTCAGATTGTTAAAGTTCACCCATCCCCCTTCACTACTCTATCCAGAACTTTGATTGTAATCCTTCTTTTACCCCCCAATGTATTAGAGGCCAAGTAAAGAAGGATTAGAACGGCTGCAAAGTCCATTTCTGCTATGCCAGGACTATAATGTCCACGTGTGCACGCGCTCCACCACTCCACATTGTCCTTTGCTAGTCCCATGGTTTCTTGAATGGTTTGAAGTTTGGGGGGTTTGATGCAGATCTGGAGTACAGAACAGCTGACTTTCATGTGCTGCCTTTAGCTGTTGTTAATATGATTACATTCTCTAGATGGATCTCATTTTTTAAGTGTAACTTATTGTTTTTTTTATATATAGGGAGATGATTTTAGTTGTTTTTCTGCTTTGGAGCATACAAGATGGCAGAACACTGCTCATTTCTCTATGTTGCGTTCAGTGGTGGACAACTTGCCCAGTAGCTGAAGTTGAGATCAGAACACCGTGAAATGAATAAAGAAAAATTATCTTATTTATAAAAATCTTCTCGTTTTCTCTTCATTTTCCAGAAATCTTTTCTATAGGAAATGAGATTTGACCAGCTTTCCTAAGTATATGAACGTGACATTCCGCCTGACTTCATTTCACAAATGCCGATATAAAATGCGATGAATTATTAGCGAGGTTCTTCGTGACACAAAGTTTTTTATTTATTTCATTATTACAGAATAAATGATGTGTAAAGCTGAACTTCGGCCACACATTGTATTCCATCTACAATAGTTCATATCATACAGTCAGTGATTAATCCAGGTCAGCGAGGGATCATTCTCCACATTGGTGTCACGAGACCAATGGCCGCTATGCTTGCCCTTTCCACTGCCCCCCGGTCCTGTCACGTCCCCAGTGTAGTTCCTTTGTAAATACATTGCCGCTCGTTGTAGTGGAAGGACCAGGCAGTCTCAGACTCCCGGGCTGACGTCATCATTTGCTTCTAACATTTGAGGGACAGGTCCGCAGACTCCAGGTGTGTGCCCGCCTATCATAGATTGGCCACATACCCGCCCACGTTCATACCTATTGCATGATGGGAATTGTAGTTCATTTTAGCAGCACCACACTTAAGGCTCAATTCACACAGTGGATAAGGATCTTTATTTTAGCCATGTGACTAATGTTCAAATCTCATTGGGCTCGGCTGAAAACAACTCACTTTTTTTGACAATAAAGATTCTTATGCTGGAGTGTTAGCTTTTGTGAATTGAGCCTATAGAGCGGTACTGATGTAGCTGCTTGCTAGATCTCTCTTCTGCATGCCCGGCTGTACCTGCACTTTACCAATTCAAGGTATGATATCACAGAGAAAAAAATAAAGATTGTTTTCTCATAAACTTTGGATTTCTAATATAAACAATATGTTTGTGAATATCTGTAAAAAAATAAGTCAAGGCAACTGGACTTGCTGTATTTTTCTTGAAGACGTTTCATTGGTCATCCAACCAGCTTTCTCAATTCAGAATGACTTGTACAAACATTCTCTGGGAATAAATATGGTGAATGTTGTTCCAATCCCCACAATCTGTTAGTCACAACCAAGTGTTTGCATTTGCATAGTTGAAGCTACGAGGTGTTATTCCCAGAGAATGTTTGTACAAGTCATTGTACAAATAATTGAGAAAGCTGGTTGGATGACCAGTGAAACGTCTTCAAGAAAAATACAGCAAGTCCAGTTGCCTTGGTTTATTTGTTACAGATCTAGCATGACCTGGATGAATGAGAACCTCCACAGACATATGTTTGTGAATGTTTAGAATTCATATATTAAATGGAATTTCTGGTGTAGTTTCACTAGTTTCCTGGAGTTCAGCTTTAACAAGAATGCAGCCCAACCTAGGTAAAGGAGACAAACGTTGCACAGAACATATACAGTAAGTGGGACATGTAAGGCTGGATCTCGTGACCAATCAGCTGTTGGTCCTAGCACAGTCACAGAGTCATATGGCAGGGCCTTCCTTGCCATCTTGTCTTGAATTGTGATGTCCTCCTTACATTGTAAAGTGCTGCGCAAACTGTATAATAATAATGGGTCCAGTCCAGAGAGAGACTTTCAGTGAGGTTGTTTTTATGTCAACATGCAGGCACTGAAGTGAAACACATGAAAAAGAACTTTAAACCAAC